CGCAACGCTCTGGCAGCGGTGGTAAATAGGCGAGTCCTGGCGGACTGTGGTGACACCAAAGTAAACAGAGGCTGTCGTGTAATGGAAACGCGTCTGCTGCTTCCACTCCTCGGTTTGACTTGTCCCGCAGGCTGAAAGCCGAGCGAGCGTTTTACTTTGCTCTGTTCTCCTGTCTGTGTTCCTTAGCAGCTGCAGATGGAGAAAAAGAAGCGCTGCCCCACTGCAACTTGCAGGTTTACACGTACACCTGCGATGTGGGCAAAAGAGAAAATGTCTACACGACAGCCGAGAGGGTCCGCAAAGAGGTTGGCGAGGTTTCCGTCCTGGTTAACAATGCCGGTGTGGTCTCCGGGCACCATCTTTTGGAGTGTCCCGATGAGCTTATTGAGAGGACCATGATGGTGAACTGTCACGCACACTTCTGGGTAACTATACGCTCCTCCATGCTGACCTTTTTGTCAGTTAATTTTGAAAAAAAGTTTAGTGTTGCTTAACTCCTTCTTTTCCTGGTTTTGCACTTGCTCCCTTTTGTTTGCAAGCTCACTACTTTGCAGGTTTCTCATTTTTAATGCATTATTCTGTTTAACAGGAGTCGTTGGTATTAAAATTATTACATTTTAGTTTTTAATCAACTATATCCTCAAAGAATCCAGAGTATAAAATCTCATGCCATTTTATGTAGCCCTGGGTATGAAATCCTTTGCGAGCATAACCTCTGAATCTGCTTAAAGGTTGCTACTGTTAATGAATGACTTCCCTCCCCTCCTCCTTCCCTGTAGTCTTAATTCATCTTTTAGCTTTAAGATGCTGTTTTAATTATGGCTACAATAGCGAGCTCACACATTTCTGTTTTAAAAAAAAAAAAACCCAAAAACCCTGCTGGAAATGTTGGTAGAGTTGCCCTGGAGGTAAATTGTTCCTTGGGAAGGCAAAAAAACTCTCAAGAAAACAAGCCAAAAACACTTCTTCATGAATTCTGTGTATTTGTCCTCATAGCTTTCTCTGGGGCCTGCCAATAGAAGTAAGAAAATCTGTAACATGGAATCTGGGGTGATACTGTTTTTAGCAGATGCTAATCAAAGAAAACAAGCTATGTGGTCTTACTCTTCTTGCTATCTAAATCTTATTTTCCTCTGTTTTATTTTTAAACCTACTGTAGTGGAGTTATATAAACTGGAATGTCGAAGGAAGGCATGATGCACCCTTGGGTTAGCATTAGCTGTCAGACTGAGCCTATTGTTAGTATTAGAACTGTTCTTTGGTCCTTCAAATAAAGTTATGAAATACACTTGCATAACAATCAAAGGATTAAGCAATCTGAAATATACTCCCACTTAAGCTGCCTTTGGCTGTTCTTATGTTTGATAATAAAATTTTGTAAGATGTCTCATGCTCAAAACTTAAAAGGGCGTCCCAAACACAAGTTCTTAACATGGAAGTTAAATGCTGGTTTGTAACCCTGAAGGAGCCCCTTCAAATCTGTGCTATGAAACACTTAATGGCAGAGCAGTCTTTTTTTCCAATGAATTGTAAAGCTTGCTGAGAGAGTGCGTAAACTTCAGTGCACATGAGATTGTGTTTAGAAACTCTTTTTAACTTTGCAAATATATTTTAAGGCAATTTGAAGAGTTCTGAAAAGGCTCGTGTGGTTTCTTACAGCAACCAAAAGCTCTGCGTGTTCTGCTTTATAAAAGTCAGTGATGCTTAAACAGACGTACGCTAGCTTTAATGACTTATTGATGTGGTTTAAATGCAGAACTGACAAAGTTTCCAAGGACTCTAAATTATGACATCACTGTGAATTAAAATATGGGAGGATCCTGAATTCTCCAGCTGTTCTTCCCTCAGGCACAAATTGCACATTTATAACATTGTTTGAGACCTTTTTAAAGCACCGCCTGTATGTTCAGCCTCTTAAAGCAATGGGAAACTAACTAGAGTCTAATGGTTGTTATGATTAGTTTTCCATAAAAGTTTCATTCATCTCTAAATGTTACATTATGAAGTGACTATATATATATATATCAAATATATATATGAAAAGCTACTGTTAAAACTGAACTGTGGAACTTGAGATCTTG